GACTTTCATCGTCGTAAATATATGTTTTTCCGATCTTTTCTTTAAACTCGACTGCGTCTTTCACATTAAACTTGGAGGACATTGTTACATTTTTGAGCACGCGGACAACATATTTACATAGGTTATAGGACGGAGAACTGATTGACGAACATATAGGTCTTAGTGGGATTCATTCTTTGTGAATTTTAGGCAGACCGTTATTCCTTTATTTTAAATCAATCACTTTGTTTGTGTACATTTTCTCTACAATTTCGTTACTTTTAGCTTGTAATTTATTCGTGGGATCACGTTTCAAAGCCCTGTATGTCGAAATATCAATGACTATTTTCTGCATCTTTGTATCGTATTCCGATTTTTCCATCATTACAGTTACGTTTCCTTTGTCCGCATTGAGAATTAAAAGTTGGTCATTGTTTTTTAGGAACGTCTTAGTAGAATGTAGGGTATCACGAATAAATCTATCTCTAATGGTGATTGTCATTTTATTCAGGTGGTCTCCTATTAATGTCGTCAGATTATTTCTTTCTATTTCCTGATTTTCTTTATCTTTAATCGTCTGTATGCAGCTTTCCTCATCTGCAATAATTTTAAAAAGTGGAAGNTGTATGTCGAAATATCATTGACTATTTTCTGCATCTTTATATCGTATTCCGATTTTTCCATCATTACAGTTACGTTTCCTTTGTCCGCATTGAGAATTAAAAGTTGGTCATTGTTTTTTAGGAACGTCTTAGTAGAATGTAGGGTATCACGAATAAATCTATCTCTAATGGTGATTGTCATTTTATTCAGGTGGTCTCCTATTAATGTCGTCAGATTATTTCTTTCTATTTCCTGATTTTCTTTATCTTTAATCGTCTGTATGCAGCTTTCCCCATCTGCAATAATTTTAAAAAGTGGAAGATCTTTCTTGGTCATTGGTAAGGCAAATTTAGGTCCTAAGGATAAGAGCCATTGAACGTCATTTGGAAGTTGTTGTGTTTTGAAACCATTCTGGTACAGCCCTAATGTTAAGTAGTTGTTTTTGTTTGTCCCTTAGCTTTTCATACTTTTTGGTTTGTCTTTTCTTAATATTTGTCGTGAGAGTGTTGATTATTTTGTTTTCAATTTCGAAAAACGCATTTGAACGCGCATACTTAGTTGTTGTTCAATCTGGGCTTTTAGGGTGTTTACCTCTTTTTTCTTTCATCGAAGTATTTCGTGTTTTATGTTGATAAGTAGATTCACTAATTTACTTTGGACTTTCTGGACATATGCAGACACTGAATTGTTGATATGTGTTGACATCTTGTTGTTGCTGGTGTTGTTGCTAATGATGTAGGCAATATTTTTAGTGGCATAGTTGATAAAATCTGGTTTTAAGCCGCTTCTTCTGCACTTTTCCAAGAATTTGGTAGATTCTGCTGTTTTTGTGATTTGCTGTGTGATATTTTGGTAGCGTTTGATGTGTTTCCTCGTCTTGATGTTATAGTTGTTTTTTATGTTAGTGTAAACATTTGACTTGATTTTATATTCTCGGTGTGCTCTCCGTTCGAACATGATTGTGTTGCTTATTGGCCGTTGAGTATAATTTAATAATTATTTTTGAGCTATAGGCCGTATGTTAAATAAAACATTAAATGTTTTTCTGTTTTATTTACTTTTTAGTTTTATTTTGGTCGATATTTCGCCTTCAGTCTGAAGGCATCTTCAGGACTAAAAAAGGAAAACAATATTTTTACATCATCACAATATAAACCAACAAAAACATACATATGCACAAGTGCATTAAAACGACTTACACTATTAGCTTTGTCCGGTCGACTAATCATATGTTAAAATGTAGAATAACAAACAAGCACGAAGAAGATATTAAACATAAACAGGAAAACTAATAGTTAAAATACAGTAATTGTTGAGATGACATACAGACTAAGAAATGGTCTTACTGTTCAGCACCTTATGTATTGTTGTTTCTATAAAAATTTTTGTTTACAATTACTGTATTTTAATTATTAGTTTTCCTGTTTATGTTTAATATCTTCTTCGTGCTTGTTTGTTATTTTACATTTTAACATATGATTAGTCGACCGGACAAAGCTAATAGTGTAAGTCGTTTTAATGCACTTGTGCATATGTATGTTTTTGTTGGTTTATATTGTGATGTTGTAAAAATATTGTTTTCCTTTTTTAGTCCTGAAGATGCCTTCAGACTGAAGGCGAAATATCGACCAAAATAAAACTAAAAAGTAAATAAAACAGAAAAACATTTAATGTTTTATTTAACATACGGCCTATAGCTCAAAAATAATTATTAATTTATAAAAAATAAAAATAAAATTAAAAATAGAAAATAAAAAAATTTTCCCTGCCCCAGGATTTGAACCTGGGACCTCAGGCTTACCACGCGAGTGCTTTGCTCTGTCGGCCATTGTGACTGCTGGAGCGTCGCGAGCAAAAAGGCAAACTTATGCTTTTCACGGGGCATGAATTGGCAGACTATCTCATCAACTGGTATGATGCTACTAGTATTTATACTAGTAGATGCAGATGCATAGCCTGACAATTGACATCTCGTAGGACATCGCAATGTTAAAATTACCAGTCGCTAACACTGAAAAAGGATAGAACGTGAACTAGTTCGGCTGAAACGCAAACCGGTAGAATTCGAGTTCACAACTAGTAGCTTTCCCTGCAGGGTTGGTTTGACCAGGGTTTGAACCCAAGTGCTGCGAAGTGGAAGCGCGCACTGCTTACCACTACACCACAGCATTTTATTCCGTGAAAAAACAAGTTCTCTTAGAAATGATAAAGAATTCTTGAAAATCTAAATTTTTTAATCTGACAACGTTGCTTCTCTTTACGAAACTGTTAATAATAATACCCAATAGTTGTTTTACCATTTTTAAATACAAGCAATTTTTTATGGGTTTCCCATTGATATTTTTGAGGGTTTTAGGGGTCCTATAAAAAGTAGTTAATAACAGAAAATGGTTAAATCAACAACTAGGTAATATTATTGAAAATCTCCAAAAGAGAATCAAAGTTTTCCGATCGAGAAATATTAATTCTCAAGAATTCTATACCATTTCTATGAAAACTTGTTTTTCCCCCGAATAAAATACATGGACAACTTTGAGTACTTTGAGCGACCCCTAAAAATTTTTTGATTTCCAAATAAACACTACTTTTTTCGGTATAGTACAATCCTAGAGGGTGGAGCATTAAAATTCTGACTTTATTTTTTTGGAGCACCCCAATGTACATACATTTACCGCTAGCTTAGAGTGAAAAATTGCTAAGTCCCAATTTAAAAATTGTATAGGTGAGGAAAAAAGTTCTTATAGCCATTTTCTTCAAGTATTTGGCAAAACTTTGTATACAACATTTTGCCTGTTTAAAGCAAAGCAAAACTCCATACGAATAAGAGGGATTCGATCTTTAAAATATTTCGTACTATTTCACAACTTTTTACTCTAAGCTAGCTGTATGTTTATTGAATTGTTATGAATATTAATTAAACTGATATATTAATGCAAATTTATTAATTTGTTACCAATTGTCTGAAAATAAAAAGAAAAGTTAACAAAATAGGTACATTTTAGGTACATTTGACAGCGAAAGGTCCAATTTGAAATATCGATTTTCCATCCCTGCTGTGTGTATCTTTAATAGGATGTGTGCTTGATGTTGCGTGGTCGCGCAGCTACATGTTGCAGTGTGATGTTGCGTTGTCATAGCAACGAATATACTGTTTAAGTATGGGATTGATTTCATATAGATCCATACAAAGTTCCAGTACTCTACCGTGAACATCTCTGAAAGAGTGTATGCAATATGAAAAATTCGCTTCCAATGGGAGGTGCGACGCCCCCTTTCCAATAACCCCCGTTTTTCCATGAGTGCAGAGTTGATTTCATATATCGTACACCTAGCGGGAAATATAACAGCTTATGGATCGTACAGATTCAACGCAGTTAATGCAAAAACAGTATTTTTTATTTAGTGTATATAATCATAAGAAGAAATCTATGCATTAATTGGATGTAAGTCCCATGAATTGGTTTAGGAAAAAAGTCGTCCTATTTTTATTATTTTTTTTTAGTTGATCCGTCTTTGGATCTAGGTATGCGACATCACCATACCAAGTTTCAGTTCTCTACGATGAGCACTTCTGCAGATATGCAGTATGAAAAATTTGGTTTGTATGGGAGGTGCCACGCCCCTTTACCAATAATCCCAATTTTTCTCCATGAGTTCCAAGTTCCAGTACTCTACAATGAACTCTTCCAGAGATATTAAATATGAATAATTCGGTTTGTATGAGAGGTGACACGCCCTTTCACTTAGTGGTATGAAATATACTTTACGACCGGTAAATATGCAAAACTGTGCATTTACTGCAAAGTATGCAAAAATATGCCAAAAATGTCGGCCGCTGTGGTGTAGTGGTAAGCAGTGCGCGCTTTCACTCATCAGCACCTGGGTTCAAGCCCTGGTCAAAGCAACATCCCAAAAAATATAGAAAAAGGTTTTTTCTTAACAGCGGTCGTCCCTCGGCAGGCAATGGCAAACCTCCGAGTGTATTTCTGCCATGAAAAACAGCTTCTCATTAAAATACAATCGCCGTTCGGAGTCGGCATAAAACTGTAGGACCCTTTGTGTGACAACATCAAGGCGCACGCCACAAGACGGAGGAGAAGCTCGGCCAAACACTAACATATGTGTAAGCGCCAATCTATTATTATTATTATGCAAAAATATGCAGTAAAGATTGAATGCCATTTTAAAGGAGATTTCATTGTTCGTAAAGATAACTTAACCATTTTCATTTCATGATGCCAAATAAAAACATGTATTTTCATGAGATTCCTAGTCCTAATTATTATACAGGGTGTCCCAGAAGGGCACGTCAAGTCGAAAGCGGGTGGCAGGCCAGGTCATAATACTTGTCACAAATATATATAGTATGTGGGACATTCCATACAATATTTACACCTTAATATTTTTTTTGGGTGAAATATATTTTTTTACATTCTTTATCGAAAAAGAAGACACCTATTTTTTATATCGTCATGATATTCGAAAATCTCGAAAAAAAATTCCCGAAATTTTGAGCTCACTGAGAAGTATCTGTTTTTAATTGTTTGCAGTTAAAAAACTATTTGTCGGAGAAAAGATAGATGAGATAGATTAAAATACAAAAAAAAATTCATTAAAAAATCGCTTTATTTTTATTAACTTCATCATGTTTGATTTTAATTTTTTTAACCTGAATAGCTGTCAAACTTTATGGAGTACGCTGTAAAAATTTGAGAATGGAAACACCATTAGATGTTACGAGAAAAAACTCGTATTTTTACAACGTACTCCATAAAGTTTGACAGCTATTCAGGTTAAAAAAGTAAAAATCAAACATGATGAAGTTAATAAAAAAAATAAAAATTAAAAAAATGCGATTTTTTAATGCAAAAATTATTTTATTTTAATCTATCTCATGCTCTAATGGAAAGCCGTGGTAATTACGCATATACCTTGATTTTCTCCGACAAATAGTTTATTAACTGCAACCAATTAAAAAAAATATACTTTTTTCG